GAGCTAACCGGGAGGCGGTCTGTCATGAAAAAATGATGATAATGGTTGATTTTTTCCGACTTCTGGATCTTTAAGTTCAACCCTCCCCAAGAACTACTGCTTTTAAAAGCAGTGCTTTGTTTGTTTGTTTCGTTTTTGTTTTGTTTTAAAATGAGAAACAAGCAAACAAAAGGTAAAAAAAGAGCAAGAGAAAGCGAAAGTAATCATGTCAAACACCATTACACCTACACTTGAAGAGTGGAGAGTTTTCCGACCCTAATCACTGGAATATATCGAATTTGAAATATTATCTTGTTGAATTGTCAGTTGTTATTAACGTGTCCTTGTACATTATTATCGCAGCCGTGAGCCCTTATTACCCGGCAGGCACTGTTCAGCGAAGGGGTGAATGGAAGCCTTCTGAGACTCATGTATCGGATCTGAGGGCAAAACAGTTTACTGAACCCAGTTCGGTGCGGTTTTCTGCAACAGGCAACGGTGGTATTAGCAACACAGTATTACCCACAACTTGGTGGCGCAGATGTATAGATTTCTTTAGGATGTGTTGTTCTTGTGGTTGCATTCATGACGATTAAGAGCAGTAATAAATTTGCAGACCTTCGGCATATTGTCAATCAAGAAATCTGCCACTTGTCGCCAAATGTTTTAGCCTGCTGATTTTAAAGTTAACCGCGTGACTAACACATCTGATATCAATCTGTAACCATTCTTCTTATAAGCTTAGCATTTACAAACGAAAGTGTCATGGCAGATATGAAAGAAAACGATTATTTAATCACTTTCACCAGAGTGTGGTGAGGGTCGCACAACAGAGCGAGGCTCCAATTTAAGTGCGCCCAATATCCCACCCATCCCACCCCAAGGGAGGACATCCATCACACAGTAATCTCGTATGTGGGAAATTAACGTCTCCTACCCCAAACCTGCAGGAGACGGGACCTCCATTTATTCATCCCTATCCGAGAAGACTAGAATATCTAAACCCTTTCTTGATGTTATAGAAAGGTAGCAAATTCTTCTCAATTATTTTAAGACCCTGAGTGTTGGTCCGGCCGGGGCTCGAACCCTCGACCTCCCGCACAACAGTCCAGCGCTCTACTCAGTCCAGCGCTGAACTGGTAGCAACTATTCATTGAACAGTAGAATAACAATACCTTTAGTAGTAAATATAATAATATGAAAATGTAAGCTCTGCGATTTTATTGTGATGTGTTTTATTTTATAGAGGGAGCCTTTCAATGAAAAGCCTTGAGTTGATGGGTTTCTCCGCACCAACTCATATAGGCTGACACTTTGTAACTCTGGTCGAAAAATCTGGCAATAAACCATTAACAGTTATCATGACAAGGACTACAATTGTTTTCTTTTTTTTTTTTTCTTGTAACAAAGCGCCATCGATTATTTGGCTTTTAAGTCAAGTACTTAGGTGAAACGTTCTCTCCTTTTGCATGTAATGTAGTAATAACCTGTATGCGATAGTAAATAATGATCTTTGTGCAAAGTGTCAGATTGAGGAAAATTGATTTAACTTTGCTTCAAACTGAACTGTCCACCTGACTGTCAATCTATTCCTGTCTGGATGTTCAAATGGAGCAATATGGATGCATTAGAATACGCTGTCCTTCTCTTTTTCCTGTATCACAGGGAGATATGCACTATGGAATAGCACACTTGAAACACTTGGGAGGAGACTAAATGTTCCTCAGAATATGGAGCACAGGACCACAAACTGCCTCTTGGAGAACGCTGTAAGGTAGTAATTGAGAAAGAGTGCTACAGGTATGGAATATGAACACAATCAGGTCGGCAAAAGTTGAAAACTTCATGTTAAGAGAATATTAAAATTTGATATTTTTCAATCTTTTGGAAGATAAAAACCCCTATTTCAAGAAACACTGTGCAAACTGCGAACCCCACGGCTCTTTCCTGAGACCAAGTCACACTTTGCCTTACAAACATTACAGTTTCACCAAAACGCAGAAAACCTACTGTTTTTTTTTTTTTTTTTGCCAAGCAAGTTGTCTATCACTTCAAATAAGCACTGGCTAGAAATATGGTTGCTGAAATAGAATAAAATAGTAAAGCACCTACCAATTCGACGTTATGACAAACATCACTGGTAGCCACAACATGACTGATAAGCCTACCATTACACAGCAAATAACGATCTACGAATGAAGAGGAATTCTTAGTTTTAGAGATTAAAAAAAGGCAGTGGGTAGGCTTAGGAAAATCTAGTCACATATGAATTCCATGGCCAGGCATCAGTACCCATGCACATGACATGAAATATCATAGAAGAATGAGAATCTGTCAAAGGGAAGCTGATTACTCCCAGTCTTGTAGAAAATATACAGATGTAAATTAAATGAATTACCTCCCGGGTGGACTCCAAGCTGTAAACTATAATACCTTTCTTCTCTTGGTTTGTTGTGTGACGGGGCCAAAATAAAACCCAGAAGGCTTCAATCCAGAAAGTCTATCCGGCAAAACCACTCTCTCCACTTTACATTCGTTTGAACTCTTTCTCCAAGGTTTTCTTAATTCCAATCGATAGCGGCAATTCTGAATTAATGTCGTCCCATATCGCTCTGAGAGTTCTTACAGTGGTAATCCTTCTTCTTCGCAATTCCTTCCTTAAAGCCTCCAGTCTTCCTTGGTCAGTCCAATGGTACTTATTCTTTAGGCGGGTAAAAAATTGTTCCAGGCTCTCCCCAAAACTGAAAGCTCCTGCTGGAGTATGGAGAAACAGCAGTGAATAATAAAAGTGGAACATCTTAAAGTTCACAAAGCAACAAGATGGACAATCAGACACGGTTTTATGTTACTCTAGTTTAAGGATTTAATGAATGTAATCAGGGAAATTATAATTCATCGACCCAACGTTCCGTGGAACATCTTGTTAGAACTGAAGCAAAACATAGACATGAGATAATAAAATTTTTCCGATAACTGTCAATAATCGGCTACATGAATTTGGCACAGTTACCATGGCAAAATTTTAAAAGTAAAGCTAACTGACTTTTTTAAATAAAGAGACAGCTGCTTTGATGACGGTTGTTGTTGCTATCATCAGCACAAATGTACAGATATACTCAAGGTAGAAACGTCTGCTGATGAAATAAGTTGATACTTTAGGTAACTTCAATTTTAAAATCGATTTGGTGGGAAGCTAATCTGAGTCCTACCTTGACTGCCAATAAAGGGGGGAAGGATCATTAGAATGATACAGAGTTTTATATAGAGATCAAGTAAAAAAAAAAAAAGAAAAAAAAAAAAACTCTACCCCCCCTTCCCAGGCGATAAATAATGACCGGTCCCCTGATTAAGAGAAGTGAAAAACCAAGATATAAGAGCCCTCCTACATTTAAGAGATCTGGTGATCAAATATAATTACGAGCCGCTTTAAAAGTCCTTTTGGATAATAAATCCACAAGCAAAAATTGTTTACCTCTGGAATCTCCGTAAAGACGAGTGTTCAAATTCTGAGTAGTGAGAGACTGCCTTGACTGAGGAATTCAGGCCTTAATTGTTTTTTCTTTCTCTGGAAAATGCCCTACCTTTAGCCATAACTTCTCTGTCCATTTCATTTTTTTCACGCTGCTTCCGAACCAATATGAACTTCTCTGCCAAAAGTAACACGGAGTCCAGAATTTCAAGAGCCAGAAGATCTACCTCATTGGACTGCTTAGCATTCTCGTGCGTATAATTTGCAATGAAATAGGTCCTCTCGCTGGAACTACCGGTTACCGCAGATGCCAGGTCAGAAGCTTCCTCCTTATGCTCCTCAGTTTTAAGTTCATCCAGGAAGGTGATCACAGTTACGGGAGCATAACCTGAAAAATGAGATGAAAGATAATCAGAGCCACAGGACTAATAACCTGCAAACAAGGCGGAAGACAATCGTTGGCACGATGGTTTAACAATGAGGTGATAACTTCTCTACTCATAACGCGTTGCTTCCAAAATCAATGTAAACTTTTCTGCAAAATGCCAAACAGAGTCCAGAGTTTCAAGAGCTAAAATATGTACTTAACTAGGCTGCTCAGCATTCTCGTGAGTACAATTTTCAATATAATAGGTCCTCTTGCTGAAAAGGGGACTATTTTCGATCGAAGTAGACCTATATGAGGTGAATGTGAACTATGTATCATGCTGATCTACCCTTTTTTGGTTGTTTCTTCTTGTGGTACTGTTGCTTCTTTTGCATTACTTTATCTGATAATGATGTCATAATCTCAATAAAGCTAAATGTACTTTTTTGCAACTCTAGTAAATCAGCACTACTGAAATCAACAGATGCTTCCTTATACTTTTTCTGAGCCAGGATTACATTATTAGGACCTGTGATATTATTACCATCTTGCCGAAGGTTCCCTTTGATCGCACGAAATATTTTTCTGTACTTTCCGTCAGATAAACACGGATCGTTCGCCTTCACAACGAAAATCACAGCGTGTGCACATCTAGCAAGTGATGGAGTTCTTGTGGCCGCTGAGTTTCCTGGTTTTCCTTCCTTATTGTCGTCATAATCCCTCGAAATTTCTTCTCCTGGTCGAATTCTTGATTCAAACCAAACGAAAATGAATATGTGAGGTTTTAAGCCCATTTAAACCAAAGCTAATTGACATGTAGCCTATGTTTGCATCTCCGCCCGGAATGCATTATCCTTTATGCAGGTGATGACAAAAGAAAAACCTTTAAGCGAGAGGTTTTTCTTCTTAGTACACCACCAAATCCGAAATGTTTCCTCTAATTAACATAGAAAATCGATTATAGCCAGAAGGGAAAGTTAGTCGAGAGAGTTTTATGGTTCCTGAATCAAGTAAGCCAAACTAAATGGTCCCGATCAGATTCTTCTATATCTCGAGACATAAACACGAAGATTCTCAGCTTAAGACCAGATTGTGAAAACTAGGTTCGCCATGCCACTTCATTGAAAGTCTGAAGCGACTTTCAACAGATTTGTTTCCCTCACTACCCAATTTTCAAGATTATAGTTCTTTTACCTACGTGAAAAATTACTGAGTTCATCCTTGGAGAATTCAGTTTTGAAAGACCTTGGCAGCTTACTCACGTGAACCATGTAGTTGAGATAGACATAGAAGAGGCACAGTGTGCAGTTTGGAGTCAAGTGAGTCTGACCTATGCTGAAAAATTTCGAGTGTTTTTGGAAATCGGCACGCGCCCCCAGGAATGATATCTCACAAAATTAGGTCGAGAGAGGAGGAAAGCTTATAAGCGAGTAAAGCCTCCAAAAATAAATATATATATATATGAAAGCAGCATAGTTCACCTTCCTGACACTATTTCGAGACATTCATCGACAATTTCTTCATTGGCCTCAAGGAATCCTCTGGTATCGATCAACCGAATGCCTTTCTGCACGTAGCATTCTTCAAGAAGAATAGTACCCTCTCTTCCAGTTCCTTGTTCGAAGGAACTCTGAGTCTCTCCAATTGCTCGCTGTAGAGTCCCTTTCACATCGACCAAAAATGCAAATATTGAGATGATCACTGAGTCCTTAATCATAACCAAACTTAGCAAATTAACTTCTTCACCTCATTCAAAAAGAGTAGTAAATCATTTACTGAGTAAGCCCGAGTGTTGTTCAAAGCGGGCCTTCACCGTAGATAGCAGATTATATTTCTATCAAAAGTCTTGGCAGAATTGTTTTAAAAAAATTATCAAAATATCTCTGGAAATATATATCCCACCTCTTTCTGGCAAACCAGGCCCAACTAATTGACATTAAATCACGCGTTAACGTGAACTTTTCTCAGCGGCCTCTTAACTACGTGAATATAAGATCGGTTCGTATCATAAATGGGGTCTTTTTCAAAGTAATGGTAGAGGACTTCCAATTAAACGATACAAAAGGAGCTAAACCATCAACAGAATAATTAGCATTTACCTCATAATTTTAATATGGACAAGTATCATCTCGCCCGAAAAACTTTGTCATCATGCAGACCATTTGTAAACTGGTGGAAATTCACAACAGTTGTACTTTTGTGTATGTGTGCTGTTGCATCAGTTTGCATGTTTGGCGTCTCCAGCTGGTATCAACAGACTGACAAATGCCGTTGCAATAAAAACCTTCGTTTAACTTTACAATACATGTAAAAGCACACGAATCATATGAGGATTATACAATTACAAGGGAACTAGTTTTATTGACAGAATAGAAGACTCGGGTTACTCACCTACAAAGCTAGTTTTCCCAGAAGCTGCGGGTCCAATTAAAGCAATCCGTATCAAGTCGATGTCGTCCACATCTAAACCTCTGAAAGATTCCTTCATGACTCTTGGACCAGCATGAAAGTCATAATTCACAAGTTCATTTCTTACTTTGATCAATCTCTCTTCTTCCCTTCTTTTCTCTATTTCCTTTCTTGAAGATTGCCCGAGATCCATCTCACGATGATCTCTTGTCCTTCAACGCGTAATCTTACATTTGCTCAACGTATCCCTTACAAAACAAAGAATGAAAGAAATTGAACAATTAACAGAAGGGGAGTTTTACAAATTAAAAGAGTTGAAAGCCCCTACCCTCCCCTCCCCTGTCCATACTGGTTCACAACTCTTACGTGTGTCACAGTGAAACATGAACTATAAATACATTCTTAATATCATCACACCGAATATTAGTAATATTTTGTCACTGGATCCACTTTGTATGGCCAATAATAAATTTTATGAGTAAAGGACACTCTGATACTTTACTATTCGGCAAAGGACACCGGAAGTCTCATTCAAATTTCATCAAATTAGACCTCTCTTTGGTCCGTCATCATGGCGATCGATACCGGCATGGTTTCTCTAAGTTTTCTTGACGATTACAAACAGTTTCAGCATTTCAGGTTTTAAACAGGGTGCCATGTGTTGTATGAATTCTGAATAGCTCCAACACTGAATTAAGAATGCCCAAACTTATCGGTGAAGCGAGGACAAACCAATGATGAAAACACTTATGTCAAATTATTCGCTCAAATGTTTTCATCATTTCTCACAAAACGTCGAATCACTGTGACTTACTGAAAATTATGACTTTCAAATTTCTGTATTCCATTCTGAAAGCAGTTCCGCTCGTAATCTTGCCTCAATCCAAGTCTTTATCACTCGTTGCCCTATGTAAATCAACCGCTCCTTTCAATTCAAAGCAACGAAAGCAATTATAGGATTTCCTAGAAATCGGGTGACCCCTTAGCCAATGCAGTTTGTATACAAAATTATTTAGAAAGTCACGCTATGACACCGTAGCAACCAATTGAAAAAAAAAAAACAAGTAATTGCTTCTAAAGAAGAGCACGTTCTGAGAAGGATGAAAAATCTGCAAACTAAGGCGATCTTCGCTGAATTTTCCTTTATTGTGACCTGTTCTGCTATCTTTAGTGCACGTTACATTGTCAATTAAATTCTACGATTGGTTTGAGAAATTTTGCGCGAATAACTCCCTTTCGATATATTGTGTGACTTTCAAAAAGGTATACTTACTATCCCCTCTTACCGACAAAATTTTTGAAGAGATTAGACCTTTTGGAGTTTTTCATGTTATGTGAAATCTTTATGAAAACTTTCATCGAGCAAATTTACACAAATCGGCAAAAAAGGCAGCTAAATCACGAAAAGATTCATTACACTTGACCAATCTTTAGGGAACACAACTATCAAGTATCATGTGACTGAGATTCTTGGAATTTAAGAAGGAGGCTTTGTGTGGTTTGTTATTTCGCCGTTTCACAGAAATGCGTACGACGTTTATTTCTGCAGTGAGAGAACGTAGTTGGTCTACTTGAAAAGAAAGTCTGGCATAACGATATCCGTCGATGAGCCATTCACTTCGTTACTGTCTGACCATTCTTTTTGGGGACTCGTAATTTCTACCCGGTAAGTGCAAGAGATATCGATGGTCGATGCACAATTTATATATATCGGTGCCCCTTTAGGAGCCTCGAATTCAATTCATCTTCAAACTTCTAGTTTTCTGCATTAAAGAGCGCGAACTAAACTTAGAAGCAGGTTACGCAGTTTTTTTAGATTTGTGACTTAAGTTTAATCTTCGTTTGTTTTGCGGTCAAAGGGAACTTCACTGGCTAAACCTTGTTGTTTTTGAGAAATCAAAGAGCTGGCTAAACAGCTAGTTGCAACAACAAACTACTATCAGTTATGGCTATTGACAAGAATGATCCTTTAGTTCTTAGTTCAATAAGTCAGTTAAACTATTTAAGTCTCCGGATGATGATTGCAGTAACATTATTGAGCTTCATTAATTCGGCTAAAGTATCCAAGAAGATAAACCTTTATTAACTTATATGTTTGTCAAAGTAACTCAGCGAAGAGTTAGAATGGTTTAAACAGAGCAGATAGAAAACCTGCTTTCCTTCCACTTAAGTCTTACGAGCTTTGTTGTGATTAAGCTCCCTTTCAGTTTGCTGATTTACCCAGTTTTGCTCGTTGAGGAATTCAAAAAAATTTAGCGCAACTTACGAAGCCGCCATTTCGATAACAGTCCCTTGTTTTCGAAAATTTCCGGGAAAAAGCGGTAGTGGATAAACTTTGAAAGTCACGCGAATGTTTTGACTCAGGTTATGACAATAAAAGAACTTAACAACGTTTCCTAAGACACTTAGACCTTAACGGTGGCGTCAGGATTTTGTATCAAAGCTAAATGTATTCTTACCCTCTTTGCATCAACGGTGTCGCATCTAATAGATAGGCGAATGGGTTACCGCTATACCTCTACTACACTAGGAGGTTTTTGCTTGTTCACTTAAGTAAGAATGGCTCGATTAATCGACGAATCGAAGAGACAAGCCTTCAGATGAAACGAAGTTATTAGATATTGCTCGGTGGGGATTTTTATCAAACGTTGATTCTCTATAGCATAATTGTTGGTCATTGACTTTTTAAGATCTGGTGGCTCTCAAAAGAACCGGGGTGGCTCTGAAAAGAGCCGTTGTGGTGGTTCTGAAAGAACTGTTTCTTATACGGCCTCCGTCAAATGACCATGAAACGAATCCCACACGAGCAGAGCTTTTTGGTCTGAGGTGTAGCGACGATTGCGTAGAATCCAATCCTTTATTCCTATGAATTAAAAAGGAATACTGCATTTAGAACACTAATCAACTTCCATAGAAAAGCAAACAAACAGAAATTTACATATGTTCTTAATAGCACGTGCTCGGTGACATAATATCCATGACAACAAAACAGTCGTACGAACTTCGTTTCAAATTCCTATAGTCGTGTGTGTGTCGCTCCCTCGAAAAGTTCCTTCTCTGAATAAACAATGTGGAAATAAAACCTACCTTCTTCGTCCATCCAGCCTTTTTTGTGAACTGAAACTTGCATCCTCGGTGTCGTGTTGATATTCAGCTGTCACCTGTCACTGAATATCTTTGAATATGACCTTCGGTGGGAGTTTTTCGCCAGTTTGCTTTCACCACCAGAGCAACCGTGAGACTTTCTCAGATCCATAACACCTTTTTTTAACTCTCAACCTTTTGGTGCGTCACGCAACCGAGTATTTTCACCTAATTTTCAGTTTGGAAACTTTTCTTGACTAAGTTGCTCACTTTGGGGTGCGTCTTATAAACGGGTGCGCCTTCTAACTGAGAAACTATGATATACTGTCCATTTCCTGTGACTGACGGAAATGTGGCTCGTCAAGTGTCCATTTGCTATTTTTAGAGTTATCGGTTACGAATAATCACCTCTAACATGTTGGCACGTCATTTTTGTCTCCACTAGGCCTTTATTCAGGATAAAAAATAATGGGAATTGCTAGAAATCGCGTGGCCATTGATGGAACGATGAGGTAAATATCTTTTTCGTTGTTCTTGTGGTATGCTTTTATAAACAAAACTGATGCTACTATGAAATCATGTAATCGCCATCCCTAGGGTGTGGCATGTAAACAGTTAAATATAAGGGAAAGCATATTGAGAACAAATAATTCAACCAAAATAAATGGTGTATAATAGATAAACAAATAAGCACAAATAAGTAAAATTATTTTGCTGCTACACTGTGAAGGTTTGGCTTATTCCCACTAGTACGAATGCTTTAAAGAGGCAAGCCTTAGGATTGAGAATTCTGGGAAAAAATATTTATTTGGGATGATTTCTAATTATTGTGACTGTTTAGAGATTCGATGTTTAAACATCCATTGGCCAATGCTCGTCTCTAGTATGTCAGCGCTTAATGTTTGTCTAACAACTAAACTTTTGTACAGGAGGTGATGGTAGTAATTCTTAGAAATCGTTCGACAATGTTACATGTGCCATGTGCAGTGCAAAAGGTTCATGAAGTTGAAAGTCACGAAATCATGACATTGTTGCCAAAACAGAAGAGTGTTTCTGATAAGTTTAACAAAGCAATGTACAATAGGTGAAGTTATAGGGTGGCCTTAGGTACTCTGTGGAACTTTTTTTGTTGTTTTTGTTACCGTCTGCTTTCGAAAAAGAGGCTGCTACTGTTATGAAATCATGTAATCATCATTCTCAGAATCTGGAAGGTCACTTGTCAAATACAAGAAAGCACACTCAAAGCATTTCATTCTTTCTCCGTTTTATAGAGCAGCATAAGATGCTCACTTTTGACGATATTTAGAGGGCCAAAGTTGGTCGGCTTAAGAAAGTAAGTGTGACAAAACGACATCTGACGATCTGCCATTCACCTCGCTGTTGCCTGACCATTGGATAGATTTTATTTTGAAGACTCGTTGTTTTAACTCATTAAGTTTTGAAAATGTCGAAGGTTGATCTCGATGCAAACCCAACTTATATTGAGGGCAGTTTCTTGGTATTATTTGAGTTGACATGGAAAGGGTATATAGATACAAAGTCCTCTATGATGGTATATATGTATGACCGATTATTAATTTATTTTATGAAATTGTCTAATATTTGCAGTATCTGTTGGGACCTGAGCTGAATTTTAGTTCTTTAAACTTTGAGAATTTTCGGTGGCCAAAGGGAGCTTGTAAACTTTGTTGTCGTTTAGAGCTTTGACAGTGTAGACTGATCTTTGTGCAACAACAAACGAATCAAATCAGTTATGCCTGTCAAAAGCACTCACATTATTCAAGTTAAACAATTTCAGCCATAGTAACCAAGGGGGTACACCCTCATTAGCCTACTTGTCTGATACATGAATGTATTTCCCTTTGAGAACATAAGTAGCGGCTTTCATCGTTCATTCAAAAATTATCGCCAGAAGGGGTTCCTAATTCGTGAAATGGGGTCTTAAGAAACCCTTGATTTTTAGGTTTGGTCAAATCCAGGGCAAAGTTTCTTTACTTCAGGGAGAGTAGAGAGAAGAAGTGAAATGGACATGTTCAAACAGTTCCTTGTGTGTGAGACCGGAGAAATGTACCAAAAAAATAACCCAGATTGAATTTCCCAGTGGCCCTCTCCTGTTTGTCACAGCAGCAAAGTGAAGTTAGCTAGTTGATAATGCAAAAATCCTGAAAAAAAGTGGGGGAATTTTCACAGGGGAACCTTACAGCAGCCGGGAAACTACGTATTTTTGACCCATCATTTTCACACAAATGGTAACTCATATTAATGAATTTTCAACTCCGAATAGTTCTAACTGCCCCGTTGACTATTTACTTAATCCAATGCAAGTTCATGGAATAACTACTAAATAGCTATCACTTGTGCTAAGTTTGGTAACTTTTATAAACTGCCTGTCAGGTCTCTTGATATTTACTTTACTTTTTTCTTTATCATTTAGAACGAGAGACATTCAAGTTGCTACAAAAAGGAAGAAGGCCTCCACATGGGGGTAAGCTTTCAAACTATTCGTTTTAAATTTGGTGATTACCTCCTGATTTCATATTTCTGTTTTACGTCGCATACGCTTTGCATACAAATCTGCGTGAACTGTTTTTTTCCAAATTGTTATGTATGTATGTATGTATATACGAATATTTATACAGTGTACCCCAGTTCAGCAACTTAGCTGCTTTAAATTGGGCTCTGTGTAACCCACCCATCCCACCCCAGGGGAGAACATCCACTACACAGTAATCTCGTGCGTGGGAAATTAACGTCTCCCACCCCTAACCCTGCAGGGGACGGGGCCTACTGTTTATTCGTCCTTATCCGAGAAGACTAGAATATCCATCCATTCTTTGATACTATAGAAAGGTAACAAATTCTCCTCAGTTATTTTTGTGTTGGTTCGGCCGGGGCTTGAACCCTCGACCTCCCGCAGTCCGGCGCTCCACCAATTGAGCTAACCAGAAGGCGTTGTGGCATGTCGTTGTGCTCGGACAGATAAGACACGGCAACGAGCTAAGATTAACAGACTTAAGAGCAACAAAACATTTGATTTCCACACCTTGTATTAAATATGCAGGTTTCATCACAGCAAAAATATTGCTATTCTTTCAGAAAGGTTTTTCACGTCCCCGTGGCTATGTGTACGAAGACAACGTTGAAAGAGACATACAAGAAGAGCAAGAGAGAGAACCTCGACGCCAGAGGAATTACGAAAAGCAAAACGAGATCGAAAGACAAATAATTCATTTGGAAGAGGTTAAAAGCGATGGGTGTGTGCAACAATACGATGAGGAAAAGGTTAGGAGAGAACTCAAAGAACTTCAGCTTGAATATTATCTTTGTAAAAGTCGGAAAGCACTGTTCGATTACAAGTTTGGTGACAAGAGCAAAAAGACCTTGCATCCTCATGTCACCCAACTAAGGATTGCATTGTTTGGCCCTACGGGTTCGGGAAAGAGTTGCTTCATTAACACATGTGAACGTGCGGTGAGGGGAGCAGAAGTGGGCCTTGCAGAGAGCAGCTCAGGAGAAGAATGGACTGTTACGCTCCAAGACTATCTGCCAGAGATGTTCTTCCACTTGGTCGACACTAGAGGTTTCTTCCACTTTGATCGTAACGAAACTGTTGAGTTTCAGAACATCCTGCAGGGGAAAATCCAACCTGGCGACGTAATACATCGTCCTATGAATGGGCAGGCTAAAAAGCAGGAGTTGCATAAATTCCCAGCGTTTGAGAAAAGAGTTCACGGAGTCATTCTCGTTGTAAAGGCAAATGACCCGCGGTTAAAGCATGGAACATTTAAGGAATAGCTTCAACCAGTCCGAAAAATACTTTGTGAAAATGGTAATTTCTCAACTAACCTTTGCCGTTGCTTAGAATTACGACCTTTATAGGCCAGCCAGGAAAACATGATCAGAAGAGTAATAAGGGCAGGAATGCAAATTTTTTCACGCTTATTGTATTTGTATCATCATTTTCAGGGATTGAGCCTATAACAGTTGTCACTCACTATGACTTACTTCCGGAACAGGAGCGCGAAACCGTCCGTAGAGAAGCGTCAGAAGCTACGGGTAGTTCCCTTTCTTACACACTCTTCATTTGGAACTACACTAAAGAAAACAGGGATCGTAACACTGAGAAAGAGCGCATGGCACTAGAAATTCTGCAACGTGCAGTAGAGGAATCCGAAAGGGCAGTAATAAGAGTCATGGAAGAAACAGGTTTGTTTCTTTATGGGCTGAGTATGAAACTGGTAAACTTTCTGACCACCAATTACGTATATTTGGTTGTTGTTACTGCAGATTAGTATGGTTGAGTTCTTAAAAGGTGTGAGAAGGACTCCTGATTACCGAATTCCAATATTGAGAGCAGTTTTAGCTGAGCTTATTTCTTGCGCTCATTGTATAATTCAATTTATCTTCCCAATAATAAAATGGTTTTATACCACATTTTTGCTATGAGTACTCTTCAGTCATTCCCATTCTGCCTTTTACATCCACATCAGTACCACAAGAGATTCTTGAACGAGGACTTTTGGCTTTGGAAGCTTACAATAAAGCTCGTAGCGAGGGAACTACGGTGGTTAAGAGGGTGCCCATAATGTTGATTGGACAATACTGCTCAGGAAAGACCAGCTTAAAGAAGTCACTCAAAGGCCAGTGTTTCCATCAAAACGAAGAAGGCACGTCAGGAATAGATGCTGACCCTTCATTCTTTAAAGTGTCTCACGAGCTTTGGAAGGTTGGGGAGAAAGACCAAGATGCCAGTCCCAATTCAGCATTACTATTGAATCGCCACCTTGCTAAATGCACAGTTGAACATTTGAGTTTGAAGAAAATACTTGAGGTTGGTTCAGCCGGAGCTGTCGCTCCCGAAGACTCAGACTCAAAAGACGTCAGTCAATACTTAGCTCCTGAATCTTCATTTATGGGTGTGACTGAAAGAGAAACCCTTTGTTGTGAGGAGTTACCAATGATGCCAGAAATCCCTGATGGAACGTCAGATTCGTTAGCACACATCAAGACTGGACCCGAAATCGAAAATGATCGGGAATCAAAAGAACGTTTAGGCAACGTAGCAGAAATTTTGCTGCAAAAGATAATTCCCAACGAGGAAGACGTATATTCCATGATGTGGGACTTTGCTGGGGAGTCAGTCTACTACACCATACATCCAATATTTTTAACTCCAAAAGCGATCTACTTATTGGTTCACGACCTCAGCCAAGATGCACATGCACCCGCCAAACCAGTCCGTTGCCCAGGAAGGTACAAAAACTACACAGACAGCCACTGTTTGAAACAAAATGTCGATTACCTCTATTTTTGGATGTCTCTTGTTGCTTCCTTAGCCAACCACTGTGATAGTGACCCCTCAAACACAACATCAAAAACATTGCCGGAAAGTCTCCCCCCTGTGTTCTTAGTGTGCACCCATGCAGACGAGCCCTTTGATCACACCGATGCTAAAACGCTTGCCCGAAGTGTTTATGGTTCTTTAATGGACAAGCCAAGCCGAACGCACTTGTGCAAAGATTTCTTTTTCGTAGACAATACTAAATCTGGCAAAGAGCTTGAATGTTCAGAAGTTGTTCGCTTACGTAAGGTGGTACTTGCAGCTTGTAACGAATTACAGAAGAAGAGAGAAGCCATACCAATCAAGTGGTTAGAATTTGAAAATGCCATTCAGGAGAAAAAAGAAAATGGCTTTAAATACATTCTCCTTGAGGAGGCCATAGGGATGGCTGAAGAGTGTGACATTTCTGGCGATAAGCAGTTTCAGACATTAATGAACTTTTTGCATGACCAGAGAGTTTTGATTCACTTTACTGAAACCCCTGAGCTGGACAAATTGGTGGTCCTGGACTGTCAATGGTTGATCGATGTGTTCATGAGAGCGATAACAGTCACGCCCTATGAAGGTGAAGACAACGAATTTGCAGGCCTTTGGAAAACGTTTGAGGAGGAAGGAATCTTAAAGGAAGACCTCCTAAAACATGTCTGGTCCCCATTCCTCAAGGACAAAATAACCTACGGAAGTCTTGTTGCAATTATGGAGAAGTTCAGTTTGCTTTGCTCTTTGCCCCTGTCTAATCCTTCCGATGCAAAGGAGTACTTGGTGCCATCAATGTTGATGTCTCTTTCCTTAGATGATGTTAAAAACTTGGTGGATTCCTCAAGAATACCATCCCTTTTCATCAAATTCAAATCTGGACAGGTTCCCCCAGGCTTATTTCACCGACTGATGCTCCAGTTCCTTCAGCGGAGCCAAGGAAAACAATCAAGCGAATTACGCCCTTGCCTGTCCCAATATTTTTCCAGATTTTACCCCGATGAAAAGAAAAACTTTTCCGTCATCCTTCTTCGTCATTCCTCTTCTATTGAAGTTGTTTTTCACTCGGGTGAGCAACCTGACGTTAAGTGTGTTCAGAAAGTACGTAGGAAACTTGAATTGGTTCTGGAGTCCATGCGTAATGAGTTCCGCTGGCTCAAGGGTATGAGATATGAAGTAGCTTTCATCTGCCCAGTCTGTTGTCAAAGAGGAGCCGTCGTTAGCCAATGCCGCACTCATAAGATTCAAAGCTGCAAGCAAGAAGAATGTCTGCACTTCTGGTTTGAGTCTGAAATTAATGAAGAAAGTAACTGCAGAAAGAATGCCACTGCAAAAGACTCTAGAGTTCGAATCGAGAAATTTGCCCCGTGGACTGCCCCACGAGAAATCCAAGTAAGTGACTCTCAGTAAGAATTGTACGTATTAAATTTGAGGTTTTTTATATAAAAGCCATACATCTTTAATGTGATAAACCTCTCGCCTGCATTCAGTCATCTAGTCTGATTTCCCAGTGGAGGGTTGTCCTTGAAAAAAATTGCTGACTCCACAACAACCTGGAAGGGGGAGGGCGTCGTCAGAGTCAAGTGAGAAGTCGTTTTTCAGTCGGGACACGTTTCAAAAAGTTACGTTGTCACTTTTTTGTTGAGATGAAATGGCTGCAACTTAAAGATAGAACAACTCACAGCACAAATCACTTCGGAAAGCTTAGAACACTCTCTTCCATATTAAGTGCTCGATGGATTCTGATGATGACTTCCGCTGAAATTGTTGAGACGTTACTAACTGTCACCGATAATAGTGCTTCTCAGGACTACTTTCACCCAGACGACCAGATTAAACGGTCACTCAACTGGAATTATCTTTCCCGATGTTCTTCCTCTTTTGACTAATGTTCCACAGGTAACTAACGACAGACATGCTGAGACCCACGCAGCTTGTGAGAAAGGTACATAAAGTTTTTTACATACTTCTCACTTAAAGTTGTAAAACAATATCCCTCAGGTTCTCGATAGAAGTGTTAACTCTAATTGGTGACGAAAATGAAGGAGGAAGTTGATATATATTTAATGTTACTGTAGGTCTGTTCGGTAAAATTTTACAAATGACGTCAAACTATGGTAATTAGAAAAGAGAGGCACATGAGTCGCAGCCAAGTGCGTCAATGATGTCGTGGCATGCTTTTTTTTTTAATTAAAGTGAAAAAGAAGTATCCACCACCAAATCCTCTTAGCCAGACAGCATATTACAATCTAATACAGCGCTCCTATTGTTTTAACTGTGGCCATTTGAAGTGAGATTTCCCAGAAAACTCACCTCTAACTCTTCGAATTTCTAGCCGTACTTCGGAAATATAGAGCAATTTGATGAACAGATATGGAAACTTAATTAAATTCACCCTTTTTATCTGCTTGGTTAGAAATTCCAGCGGTTGAATACTTCCTTTCGGAATGTGCATGTGATGCCACACCTGATGATTTCTTTCTCAAACTGACAACTATTCTGGAGCTGGACCAAGCCTCACTTAAAGATCCAAATTCTGCAACTAGGACAGTTATCCGTACCCTGGCAAGAAGAGCCAAAGACTTAGAAAGAGTTGATGTCTTTAAGCATTTGAGAAACGTTGTGCCCGCTGGGGTTATTGGTGAGTCTACAGTATGTAGTTTTTTCTTACCCATGCTTATTTTACATTAGTTACCACACTGAGCGATCTTCAGGGTAACAGAAAAATATCTAAACTCATCCTTTATATGACATTTTGATAATTTTATGTTCATTCAACTCTTTTACTGAATGGTTCCTTGTTACACTAAAACAGACCATGCAATTACCGTGAGAAAATCCAGTTCTTCATTTTAAAAGAGGCTTCCATGCCAAATTTCTAATTGATTGATCCTACTTACCTGTGGAGAGCTAGCTCAAGAAATGTGTATGTTTAGTTTGTTTGAACTGGTTACTATTTATCGTCTAGGTGGGGGAAGGAGGATTTGAGGGTTTTGGTTGTGTCACGACCATTTATTTGTCGAGCTTCGCCTAGTTATATTAGGCAGGGAGACCACTACAACCTAGCCCATTAAAGAGGACTCCTCGTTGACAATGCCCAAACCATAACACCGTTAGCTACGTTCCTTACTCTCTGCAGGTCCTTTAATGACCTCTGCGTATCAATACAAAGAAGATACAGGAGACGGGGCCTACTGTTTTTCGTTCTTATCCGAGAAGACTAGAATGTCTAACCATTTGTAGATGTGTCTAGCAAAAGCAGCACGTTCTCAATCCTCAGTTATTTTAACACCCTGAGAGTTGGTTTGGTCTGGGATTTGAGCCTCCGACCTTCCGCCTAACGGTTCGGCGCTCTACAACATGAACTAACCAGAGGGGGTTAGATAAAATTTAAGCTTTGTAATATTCTTATCCCCCCCCTCCATGGGCAGTTAATTGGCAGTTAATTTTTCTGTTGTCCTCTTTATCCTCTGTTGACAACAACTGACCCCTCTCCCGTCCTTTTGAAAGCCATGAGACTCCTCCGACCTCCCCCACCCCCAGCCGAATTTCCCCAATAGGGTGGTGTGGATTTAGCTCTTATAAAACTTTAAAAATGTTCCATTTTTCTTATTTGTAGGTCCCACTTTGGCAGAACATATCGATGTTAGTGACATTCCTTTGGATCAAAGACGTCGTCTTACTATGAATTTGAGCAGTAAGTGTTGAGCTTGTAAAATAAAATAGTCACCAGAGACCGGTCATTATTCATCGCCAGAGGGAGGTCGATGGATTTCTTTTGGGAGGGGAATCACATGGTTTTCAGGGGAAACGGACAGGGGCTCAGTTATTTAGAACAAATTTAAATGGGGGTCTAGGGTAAAATGACTGCCAATGAGGGGGAACATTACAATACTATAGAGCCTTATGAGGGCATCAGGTTAATTGTATTATGCTGCAACTAAAATCCATCCAACATCCCCCTCCCTGCAAATCCCCCCCCCCTACCTCCAACCTCAATAAATAAATAATAATAATCCATCTTCAGCCCTCCGGTGATCGTAGAGTACATTGACAACTTACTCTGGATTACGTATGATGCACGATCCTTCGCAANAATAGCTTGGGGGAATCTTGTCGGATTCGCAACTCTTCCAAAATAAAAAATTGCGCAACTTAGCGAAATATACAATGAATATGAAGTTCATATATTTTGAACTGCGGTATTAAATACGTATGATGCACGATCCTTCGCAGTAGATAGCGCTATTTATGCAATAGCGAAAATCAGACCTGAAAAAAATCAGGCCTGTACGGGATTTGAACCACTGACCTCTGCGATACTAGTGCAGCGCTCTACCAATTGAGCTAACAAGCCAACTAGGAGCGGACCGTTAAGTTGATTCGTAATAAACCCGTGACGATAAATCAGATACAATTAATATATGAAGTTCATATATTTTGAACTGCGGTATTAAATACGCATGATGCACGATCCAAATCAGTTGGGAAGATCATCAAACTATAATACTTATTGTAATGGCTAAATATCAAAAGCGAAACGAAGTTCATACCATGCTCTGTACTTCTTTGTGCCCTACAGGTATGAAATGCACTTTCAGTTTTTTTAACTTAATTATATGGACAATATAATTATTTCTATAAGATATGGTGAGTTGTGAAGACAAATATAAATATGCATCTTTCCTTGCAATAGGCGGTGAAGAGTGGAAGATGGTAGCAGAGGAGCTGGGCTTAAAGCCATTTGAGATCCAGTTCCTTGACAAACGTCATAAGGACCCGTTTGAGGCAGTTTTGAGTTTCGTTTCCCAACAGGGGCCATTAAGTGTAGGTAGCCTGTACGACCTACTTAACAAACTTGGATATCCTTTGATGGCTGACGTACTGTAAATAGGGTGGAATTAGATTTATATCTAACTACACTAATGAACTCACCGTAGGTAATCAACTATTTCTACATTATATACTTTAGTTCGTAACTAAGTGCAGCCATTAAGTTATACGTCAACTAAACTGTAAGATGAAAAGTACCCTGATACGGAGGGGTATTACAATTAATTTCGCACTATTCTAGAGTCAGAAACCTCAAGCTGACCAAAACTCAGGCAAGAAAAACGAAAAATGAAATGAAGAAAATGAAGAGATAAAGCAGCCACCGAAATCCCAAAAAGTTTGATTTTGTAGAAATACTTAATCATTTTTTACGCAAAGGCTATTAGTTATCAGCTAAGTAAGAACTTTGGATGCTTCCTAATTACCTAATGAATAGCTAAAACGACGTTCAGAGGATGTTTGTACATCAAATTTACTGATTCTTTTTAAAAAGTTTGTTTGAATGGACAAAACTTAAATAAAAGTTACATGAAGCTAACGTTGATCAGTCCATTAGTTGGGCAAGGTCAGTCTGCCGAATGCAGAACCCCTCGGTCATATTGCGCATATTATATAAACAGTTTTCTTTAATGAGAGGATCATACCCACCACGAAAGTATTGAGCGTCACTTTTAAACATCGTCATTTCTGGCGATGGTGCTAAGGTTAGTCTACGTGTGATCATTTTATATCTGTTCGTCATGACCCCAGCGTATCGTTTTTTCCTATCTCCCATTTATTTTCCCCATCCTTCCATTTCGGCTTCGACAGCCTCCGGAGACAACTTTGTGTCTAGAGTTTCAGCCCCAAGGTAAATGTTGTTTAGACAAATCAAATCAAAACCCCTTTGTTGCAAAATTAAAGTATTGCTACTTTTTACGCAAAATTTGGTTCTTGAAGTGATCCCACGTGTCAAGGAAGGTGTGACTGATGTTCGCAGGTCGATCGCGTGCAGGTAAATATATTGCTGCGAGATAATTTTCAGATGAAAATCATTCCCACTGCCCCCCTCCTTTCCGTCGCCGAAAATAGAAAGATGTCTACAACATTTAGTTTTTATTTTTTGTCTCAACATTTAATTGGCGTAATGAGCGAGGACTTCACATCTCAAAGTGAGAAGTGGAAAATTACTGAACACGTGTTGAAAGGGGGAGGGGAGGGAAAGGTGAGACCCAATAATGTCTTTATCGGTACACATGCGCATGATAACCACAATAGTTGCACACGGAACAGTAAAGTAATGCAATGATTGTGTAACTGGGTGAACATTATATTTCTCACAAAGGCCTCAAAAAATACAAAGCCCACCCCTCGAATGAAACAGCCGCTTGTTCAAACGCGCTCTTCTCTCGAGTTATTAATTATTAATTTTTTTATTTATCTGATGTAATTTTAATCAGAAATAGAAGCAACATTGAACGCTCGAACGCGTCAAGTAGCGCTGCGATCAACGTTCTCTTTCCCAATTTCTCTGTCGACCTCAACTGATACCCCAATCGCGGCGGCAAGGGTTTCACAATCCTTCTTTTAACTTTGTCCTCCTCACCCTCTAAGTATGTATTCAAAGTCACTCTTTTCACTGGAAGGACGTAACTGTTTTATCACCTGCACTTTATGCTATCGATCCTTCGTGTTCATTCTGTCTGCTCATCACTTAGAGATTTGCAAATGAAGGCTTCGAGAGACATAATGATGCTCTTCGTATCATCTTCGACGGCTTTTGTAGTGACCTTTCCTTTACATGACACCGGAAGTTTAACATGTACAATCAGATAACAAAATGAAACAATAAATATATGACCTTCATATATTCATTTTATCTGATTTATCATCACGGATTTATTACGAATCAACTTAACGGCATTGCTCCCAGTTGGCTTGTTAGCTCAATTGGTAGAGCGCTGCACTAGTATCGCAGAGGTCAGTGGTTCGAATCCCGTACAGGCCTGATTTTTTTCAGGTCTGATTTTCGCTATTGCATAAATAGCGCTCTCTACTGCGAGGATCGTGCATCATACGTAAAATGAAACATGGCTCAAATAATCTTAAAGGTTTTCGATGAATTAGACAAAAGTTCGGATTCTAGATTTGCAGTAAACAAGTTTTGCGCATATTGTACTTGCCGGGCTTTTTTCCGCGCATTACTCCTCCTACTGACTCTTGCGCTGCTACATGTACATTACGGAGGAAGTCATTTGTGACATGTCATTGTACAGATGCAGGGCAACACGGAATTTATTTAATCAAACATGATAAAAGGCAAAATGTTGTTCTTGGTAATATCGTCTTGGCGTTTTTACTCCAACACTTTCACCCGATCAAAACGTGTTTATAATTCAGTTCATTATATGCGATGAAATAAATTTACGGTGTAGTAAAAGATAAAATGTTACAATTACATTTCTAGGTTTGACCCTGTTACTCAGTCTAAAACTGAAACAATCAGGGAAGTAAAAAATACTGCGCCTTAGCTTACACACGATCACGGTCAACTAAACGAAACTCAGAATCCCCTATATATTTCAAATCCATCACCTCTCTGTGTAAATATGTTTCTAATCAAAGCCAAACCAGAACTATCACAATACCTGCTCAACTAGAGGAAGAAACAAAATTATCCAGCTCATCAACATGAGTTTCAAGTCATTTCACCTGGGGTCATTGTCCCAAAAGCCATCTAAATTATTTTAATCAAGACACAAAGACACCTCACAAGCTAATAAGGGTAATCAGGCAATCAACAATTTTCAGCTGGAAACAAACTTTTTAAAGGTGTCTGTTACAGCTAGACCTTAGCTTTTGATGGTCCCAATACATTATGTTTTATGTTTACGTCACCTAACCCTCAACCAGAGTACTACTTGACTGACTTCACGAACGTAAAAAGTACTTTAGAGAAATAGAGATAAATATGGTTCTGGCATATGATGATTTACACAAGGGGGGAAGGGGTTATGGGTTCTTCCCGCTTCTTTCAGATAATGGGTGCCTCTCCATTTCGTTATCTTCAAGCAACTGTGAACGGGGATAAATTATAGACTATGTCTATTAGTCCGGTCAACATGTGGTAAAAATACTCAATAATGGCATAGATGACCGACAAGTTGGAAACCTCTCTTACTATAATGCGCAAAGCACCTGTCTCCTTTATTTGGTAGAATTCCACCTCAGCTTGTGCAACATTTCCCAACTGCGCAGATATAATTGTCATGAAATCTCCCGGTGGTATCCACTGCGGGTCATATTTAACCATCTCTTTGTCTTCGTAAGAGATACTGCCATTTCGAAATATAGTTTTCATCACAAGCGTCCCATCTTTTGTTTTGCTGCCCATTTGTTGTTCCTCGGGAAACTCTAAAAAATTGAAAACATCCGTTACGCAAACTATCGCTTAAACGCGTCGTGTTGACCGACCATGCCACATGAAAATTGGTTTTAATGAGGTAGAGAATATTAAATAACAAATGTAAACTTACTGAAGGACCAGAATTTCTCCAAGACAGGGAGTACATTACTTTATACAACACTCAAACACCGAAACATGCGTAGCCTGGGTTGATACTCTCAGAACTAGGAGATATTATATCTTTTATTCAAACTACCATAAATGTGTGAGGAACCCTTAAGGTATTACAACCCTTAATCGAACCATCCATAGGACAAAGACTCATTTGAAAATCGATAATTTGGTAAAAATAGAACCATTCGTGACGGAGATTTTATCTAAGTATTTTATAAAAATAAGGCCGAAACACTTGTGTCAACTCAAAATAGAACCAAACCATCAATAGCAAGTAAAATTGAAAAGATCGAACTCTCAAATAGTTCCTTCTTTCCTCACCATTAAGGTCTTCCTTGTTTACTATGACATAGTCGTCCGTGTTTATTGTGCCTATATCGCGTAAATGAGAAGTAAATAAGGCGATTGTCCCGGTGCAGTCTTCCGAGGGTCCATTCCTGTTATCTCCAAGATCTTCACACTCCGTGTCCTTTTTTCTCTGTTCTTTTAACTTATCTCCTTTGTCATGAAACATCGCCTTCGACACAGACACTGCCTCCGACGAAGACTCTTGTTGGCTCACTTCGTTCTCCGATGAACTGTGTGCCCCATCCATTGCATGTGGACGATCCGTAAATTGCTTACGCTCCTTCGCTTCTAGTTTTTCAGTCTCGGGTGTCTTGGGAAGAGTTTCCTGAGGTACTCTTGGCCGCTCAATTGGCTTCCATTCAAACTTCTGTCCACTCTTATTCGGGTCAAAATAATGCAATAGCGCTTCTTCGTGAATCTTTCTGTGAGTTTTGTTCCACGAAAAGATGAAGCTTTTCTTTCCGTTCAGAAACCCCTCTTTAAACTGAGAGGAGACCTTTCCCATGGCCCAACGCGATATCACAGAGGACTCTTCTTCACCTTTATTCTTGTAGTGATCGTCTCCGCCGATAACAATTAAAACCTTTCCTTCTGGTTACAAGGAAAAAAACAGCGATTGATCATTCGTCTATTGCATAAACAAAAGCTTATGAAAGTCAACCGCTTACGTCACGCCACCTACTCCAATGGATGTTAAAAGAGAAACATAATGGTCATCTCTTGTTTACGAATTAAGCCTGCTTTTGGGGGAATCTAAAGGCGCATCCGTCACTGGTAAATCGCATGATGTCTTCGTAAAAAGTTTCTAAAACGGACCTTAAAGTCATCAAGATATTATTTTGAATATCTAAGAGCAGAATAGGACTGCTGTTTTGAAAAAAATACAAGAATACGTCATTGATTTACCTGTAGCTTGAAGTAGTGCTTTATAGACCTTCGCATAACCGATTCCAGCATTTTCCTCGTTTATAGAAATACGAGATTCATTCGCATGAACCACAAAAAAGGCAACATCCATCTGCAGTTTGGGAATGGCTTTTTCAGCAACATGCGACATTTCAGAAAGGCGAAAATATGTCTTGACGATGTCGAAGCTGAGTTCTTGTCTTATATCGCCTTTCGTGTCAAGAAGCAGTTTCCCCACCGAGTCTAAACTGTACGTTTTGTCGCAATTGAAAAGAAAGACACGTTTGCGACATTCTATCTTCGCTTGCGGATGTGGTTCGTCATTCATTGCTTCTGAAATACTTCGCTCCATTTCTTTCTGCCGTTCATCCATGTTCGACTCCTGTTTTCCGTGAAACATAAAATGTTGTTGTTTCTCAGAAAAGTGCATGGCGGTAAAGGGGAAGTCACGACAGACAGGAAGTGCGTGACACCGAGCAGCTTGATTTCCTTTAGCTTACTTGAACAATATAAATAACCTCACTTCTCTTTATTCCGAGTTAGTTATCTCCAGTCGAAACTTAGTGAGGTAACATTTAATTATTACAGATGAAACTGATCGGACAATCGGGTTGAGATTCAAACCACCTAGTCAGTCGAATCGTCTCGATAAATTTAGTTGGATGATTGATGACATGCCTTTGGCAATTGCTATATGTTCGAAAAACCATAAGAAACCCAAATTTCTCAGTTGCACCAACTAGTCTATGCCTGTTACTTATGTATTGCATGAGCTTAAGTATGGGTTGCCTCACAATTATTTGGATTTATTTCCGAGTTTGGATAACGAATCTTCCCCGAACTAGAATTCTGATTTCGTGGTTGGATCGAGTTGGAAACGCTTGTTAACTCCTAGGTGCTCTTCATTCGTATCGCCAACCCTCGAGCTTTGTTAATTGCTTTTATGCCAGGAAAAGTGGAAGCTGGATTGTTTAATTTATGAAATGCTCTTCATCAAAGACATCGAAAAGACAGAAAACCAACACTTGACACTCACTTTTTATTTGACAGTTCAAGCGCACCACGCTTGTATTTTATTCACCTATTTTTTTCTTTTATTTATCGTTTTCTACTTCTTAATCATATGCATTGAGACCTTCACACGTACTTTTTCTATATAATGAGCTCACAAATGTATTCATTTGAATTTGAGAATGATGGCATGGAGCCGTCGAAACGTCATTCTTTAATATCACTGGTTATTATTCTTAATTGCTTATCGAAAACCCTAGTTATTAGAAAAGTGGTTGAAGTCTCTATTAAAGATAACAGTAACGTATAAGCAACGTGCACATTTTGATAATGAAAATAGGAATTCTGGTGATCAACTGAGGCAAATCCAAAATATCACCTATTTATTTATTACAGTTTTCTTAAAATTCAGTTATTAATTCTGGCTACGGTCACGAAACCGGTAACGAGATCTCTTGGTGTTACTTAAGGAAGAGGATTTTGTGGTGATCTGCCTCATTTTTACCTTTCTAGAATTTCGATATGTTCATAATAGAATAAGAGAATTTCATAACGTCACTGATATTCTTTGACTAGCTGTACAGACAACGCTAGCGCTGAAATGAAAGAGAATCCTCAAACTCTACCAATATTTCGATACAATAACTATACAAATGCAGGGAATAAATCGGAGCGTAGCCCATTTCATTGTTCATCACTTTAAATAGGGATGAGGCCTGATTTTATGATAACTCATGAACAGCAAATATCCCATTCGACTGAACAATATTGCTGTCGAGTAAAATCACATCACGTAAAGCCCTTGAACGATCTTCCTTACATTCCTCCGCAGCAAATGTTTCAGCTCTACTGAAACGGCGATAAGATAAACTATCCGATGAAAAAAATAGTTTGGATCAAAGTACAAAAGCCCTTTTTACTGCTGCACTATTTTAAGCTTCCCGAACAAACTTTCCCTCATAAATCATGTGATATTCCTGATTATTAAAAACTGGATCAATGGATAATGCAATTCAAGACTTTTTATTGGCTCCGCCATTATGGTATATGAGCCAATATACCATAATCTAATTTCTGTACTTTGTTAAATCCGGTTTCTTCACACAAAATAAAGTCGAGAGGATTTATCTAATATCTTGGGGGCGTTTTTTTAATAAAACAATTATTCCACTCTCGCTTGTTGGATATGTTATAGCCAACGAGCGCCTCGTTGGCTATCTATCATCTCATATCCAACGCGCGCTCGTGGAATAGTTGTTAATTGTGCCGGGAATATCTCATTGACAGATATTCAAAACAATTTGACGTTCAAAAACACGGCACGAGACATCATTCCCACCTCTAAACGCAACAAATTATTTAGAATCACATCAAATAATATAACATACCAGGTGAGACAGGAAATGAACCGAGCCAAAGAGGTTAATCGATGAAAATGTTTTCATTTATGCGGGAATTTTTGTGAAGAATAAGAATAAAGAATAAAGTTTATTCGAGCATAATGAAAGAAACTTTGTTTCGTCTCTTATATTGCTATACGTCTATCGACTTATCGATCAGCCAGATTCTTGGCTAAGATTTCAGTGTTGCCATAAAGTCTCATTTTATTTTTATTTTTTTTATTTTAACAACTTTACCGGGTGTGACTAGACCCGGAAGGGTTAGTGCGAACAGAACACAAAATCTATGCGATGCACCACCCCTCCCCGCAATTCACCCTGGATAGACACTGGGTAGATACTGCACAAAGAAAGACCACAACACCGGGCATATAAGGGCTTGTGAGACGGGACCTCCATTTATCGTCCCTATCCGAGAAGACTAGAAAGTCTAACCATTTACCCTGAGTGTTGGTCCGGCCGGATTTGAACTCTCGACCTGCCGCACAACAGTCGGGCGCTATACCAATTGAGCTAATCGGGAGGCGGTTATATTGTTACAGTAAAGTAGACCTTTTACTTTTCACTCCGTAGTAAGACCTACGCCGTTGGAAATTTCAACCAAACGATAACTTCGTTGTGTGTTACAACTTGAGTCAATGTTTTGAATTACTTTGACTTTGGTTTGTTTGTTTGCTTTCAAGTGAAGCTTACAAAGCTAGTTGCTTAGAATAATATTTATATTATTTACGTATTTACCACCAATTCTATATTATTATCAAATTAAATTTTAATTTTCACCAGGAACGCTACAGCGAGCTATCGGAGGGACCCAAAGCGCTTTTGAACATGGAAAGGGAGGAGATATTCTTCGCCAGGAATATTATGTGCAAAAACAAATTCAAATGCTGGACACTAGAGGATTTTTTTAACGGGACGACAAGCTTTTTGATGAATGCCTGAACATCTTAACGGGAAGGTAAATAAACATAAATTTCTAACATAAATAATATGTACAATTTCATAATAACGGCTGGAAAACGTTTGAAAAGATTGGCTTTGAAAAAAATCCAAGACAAAACATGACATTCTTTTTTATTTGTCAAATACTTGTTCGCATTCGGTTGGTCCGGCTTAACGCTTTACATGATCGAAAACTGCAGCCCTGAAGGGAAGTTTTGCGAGGGGCCTTGGGTTAAAAAAATTACTTATGCAAGTTTCCTTAGATTCCACTCCATGTATTTAATTTGTATACAGAATTCGCCCTGGAGAGGAAATTAAAAGAGAACGCGAAAAGTCTGAGAATCGCTCTTGTGATGGAGGGCATGCAGGAGTCGATGATGAGAGCAAGGAAGATTCAACCGTTCTCTAAATACGTACACGCTGTAATTTTTGTTGTAAAAGGGAACGACCGTTGACTAGAGACAAGCACTTATACTGAGCCACTTAAGAATATCCGGGCTCACTTTAAAACAGAAGGTAAGAGCTAAATTTATATAAACAGATTATGAAAGTAATAATTCGATATTCATTCATTACGTACTTTTATGGCAATAATCATCTTTAGTAAAAGTATCAGGTCGGAGAGGCTGGGGAATATCACTGGTGGAAACTATGCAACTGCAATATATGCTAGGCATATTATATTACTTTTGCAAGCACATCATTTGGGGTTGTTACTTTGGGCACCTATTTAAGTTTATGGCAAAAGTAAAATGGTCCAATTTCTTTGCATTTTGCTTACCTAATTAGTCTGTTGTGCTACATCCAAAGATTGAGGGTACTTCTGAAACACATAGCGAGGGAACTTCCATTAACTTGTTATTTTGCAAGTAAAATGGATGTATCACACCTCATTTCATCCATACGAGCAGGTCACACTCCTGTAACTGTAATCACGTGTCTGGACAAGCTGAAAACTGAAGAGGACCGTCCAAAGAAATGCATGTGGCATGGCAGCTCAGGTAACCAGCGGTGCTGGAGGAAGAACTCACCTCATTTCAAACTATACAGAGGAGAATAACAACAGGAGTATTACAGTAGATCGAGCCGCTCTTGACCTTTTGGAGTCCGCTTTGATTTCTGCTGAAAACTTCATCCGAATACGTAAGCAAAGAGTAAAAAGGGAAAGAGATTCAATGCCTTCAGGTACTTTAATAACGCTTACAATACACAGTTATATTTCGCACTCAAGAAAAAGTTTTTTTGTGTTTCCTTTCAAAATGAGTAAACTAAAGCTTCATGAGATTATACCCACGTCAATTCAGTTGGTAAACAGTCGACCTATGTTTGAAAACAACGCCTTAAATACACTGAGGTAAAAAAAAACCAATCTGTGTGTCGTGGAAAGCGAAATGTTTGGCGTTGATTTACATCAAGGGAATATATATATGTGTGTCTTATTAGACGTTTTGTTGTGTAGTATCGCTGTGATTTTTTCGAGTTTTCCCGTCTTTTGACGAGCCCGTGAGGCGAGTCAAAGACTAACAACGAGTAAAAATACTCAGCGATACTACACAACAAAACGTCTAATAAGAGATTTATTATCCAACACGCCAAATTGTTATTTCACTGCGGGAGAATTTCGCGGATATTTCTGGAGTACAAATATCGCGTGCTATTTTAGCTCGTCTCCCGCGTTATTTGTAGTCTAAGAAGCACAATTGGATACTAAGATCAAGTATTAAACAAACAAGCAATGTCTAGAGTCAAACTAAAGCAACATCCATTGCTTTCCTCGAGAACATTATGTTCTCTCTAATATCATTGCTTGGTATTGTATAGAACAAAGAACGCCCTAATTTCAGTGGGAAGATCTGTATTCGATGGGCTTGAACATTTTATTGCTTGGTGTGCTAAATGGAAATACGCCAATGGTTGTTATTGTTATTTGTAGCCTACCCAGGTCCAACTTAAATTATTTTAGTAAGAAAATACTAAGACAAACTTGTAACCATTCCACAGGATCAAGTAGCGGAGTGGATAGTGTCGAGAGGTTCTTTGCCCGGCTAAAGCGACAGCACCACTGGACCAAACAGGGGAAAGTAAATTCAGCACTAAACTACCTGAGAAGACAGGAAATTAACACGGTCATGGTCCTTAGGGAAATTTGGGAAGAAGTCAAGTCGGACTTGCCATTGTCGACGGGCATGAGGAAAGTTTTAGAACAGGAAATGGGACATATTTAAAGTAGCACTGTAACAAGAGTCAAACGTGATATTACTTTCTTTTATCTTTTTGATAACTCCATTTACAGACCTTTTAGGTGTATTCGACCACAATTTTTGGTCATAGGTGATGTTTTATATCTGCTTTTACTTATCTTTGGCCTTCACCAAGATCCATATTTGTCGTACCGTACACTATCATTCTTTTTCAACCTGCTGTAAGATAAATACATCAGGAAAGCCATAGAAGAAAAGCTTCCCAAGCACAACTTAAAGATTGCTGTTTAGATGAATCACTACAACCACACGAGGGACCGGCAGTTAGATATTGAGAGGTGTATATGATACACGATCCTTGCAGTAGATAGCGCTATTTAAGCAATAGCGAAAATCAGACCTGAAAAAAATCAGCCCTGTACGGGATTCGAACCACTGACCTCTGCGATACTAGTGCAGCGCTCTACCAATTGAGCTAACAAGCCAACTGGGAGTAGGCCGTTGAGTTGATTCGTAATAAACCCGTGAAAGTGATAAATCAGATACAATGAAATATATGAAGTTCATATATTTTGAACTGATTTGTATTGAACTGATTTGCATTGTATTGTACTTGCGTTGTATTGTATTGAACTGATTTGCATTGCATTGTATTGAACTGATTTGCATTTGAACTGAAAGGGAGTTGGATGATTTTTGGTTATGTTAATGACTCTTTTTATTGCATAACATATTTTGTGTAATATAGTTTTACCTCAACTGCAACTCTTTTCGTTTCGGTAACTTAATCAGTTCGTGTTATATGATTTAGCTGTTCGAGGGCCCATGTGAGAAAGCTCTCTTCTCGTGTAAGTTCTCCGGTAAATAAAAATAGCTCTCGACATTTGTGTAATGTTTGAATTTCAAGAAAGTAACCTAGAAAATCTCAACAAATTAGACGGAAGACATCGATGTTCAAGCTTGGCAACTATTCAGAAAAACATGACCTCATTACTAAGCTTCACGTGAAGACCAACACCTTACTCGGGGGCACAGTCACTACCACAGTGGTAAGGCTTTACGCATGCGTAAGTTACAGGCGATTTCGCTGCCACATTCTTCTTATTTTACTGAAAAAGAGTTAAGCTTAATGCATACCACACTCACTCAAAAGTTGCTGTTACACTAAAAATTAGAGTCTATGATTTTTCTAATAAGCCTATTGCCCTGATGAATCCTTACATTTATTTGACTTTTAAGTCAAATTATTAAAACTATTAAAGTAGTTTCCAAGATGTCGGTGTTTTCAGGGCGATTATGACTTTGACTGACTTTGCGTGCTATATTGGGAACCATTGAAATAAGACTGGCTCTAGCGTTAAGATATAGTTTGTAGGGATAATTTGCATAGGTAGTAATGGCGATCATACCAAAACAAGTTAACACCACAAAAAATACACACTCCAAAACGTTGATTTGTAACAAACTACAGCAAACCTGTAGGAGACTAATGTTCTTCAAAGGGTCGAAAAATGAATTGCTTCTTTCTCTAGAAGATTAACCAAGCCTTACTTTGCTTTCAAACGTAAACCGCTGTGAGCTATAGAAAGCGTTTACGAGGTCATGATTTTGAAAGCTGAGTACAACTATTGAAACGCAAATCTTAATTCAAAGTAGGTTAAAAGCTTCATTTGTCGCCTCAGACAACATTACTCTTCGAATCTCGTGCTTATGTCAATTGTTACGTGACTACCTCTGCTAAACGAAATATGAATTTACATTTGCAAGATAAAATCAAAGTCATCTGATACTAGCAGTGTAAAAATACTATACGATAAGAAACTAAATCTCATCGACGGCATGACTTTTTATGGATGTATATTTCTCTTTGAAACTTCTAGGTTCTTTCATAGGCATATCATTTGAGGACTTTCATTTCAGTAACTTTACATATAGCCTATTTGAATCAGCAACTCTCAAAACAGTACAGTATTACAACATCTCCACTATGTCATCTTACTTGAATGCATATAACAATCCTCTACCAGAAATTATCACATAGTCATGCTATATCCAAAACTATATGACAAGCCCACAGCAATATTCGAAATAGAGATCTGCATAGTCTCTTTTAAATAAAAAATTATAACCTTAAGTTTACAATTTCTTCCAACGTGATTGGGTGAAGAACTCCATTTCATTTACAAATCTGTAGGGTTGTAATTAGACAATGTGATCGATTAAACGAATATACTCAAATGAATCCACCAATCACTGAGTTGATTGGAATAACCATACAAATGGCCAACCATCCCCCACTTAGAGCCTTCCAGACTGGAATTACAAGCCCCTATTTAACTAATCTCTCTGTTTTTCTCGGAAATTGCAATGGTTATGATTAATTGGTGACAAGACTTAATTACACAGGCTGAAAGGATTTTGCGCCTCACTCTTTATCGTTAACAAAACAAAAAGGTAAAAGCCTAAATATCCAGGCATGTCGTGTCCGTTTTAGGTTCAGATTGGCTGTTACCAAAGGTCAAAATTAAGCCGAGTTCAGACATATTTGCTCGCAACAATCTTCTTACAAAAGGTCAGCTAACATGGGAAAGTCATGTGCAATTAACAATTCGTACAGCTCGCCCACGCTTAAGTGGCGCTGCTTAGCAATAAAAGACAGAGCCGCGTCCATTGGGTTCAGTGTACGCTTGTCAAGAAAACGAATCTCTTGAGGAGTCAGTCCCAGTCCTTCTGCAAGCTCCATCCAATCATCGCCACCTAAATCAAAGGTTTGTTTTTTAACTATTTTGATAATAAATATAGCTGCGTTAATTGTATTCCAGAACTGACATTTCAAACTGAGAATGGACATAAATTGAAATAATGTTGTGCTTACAAGAAATTTTCATCCAAAACTACTTGTTAAGTAGATAGTAAAACTTACCGACTAGGTCGATTGTAAGTTTTCTTGCTTTAGAGATTGGCATGTTTTGGACAGGAAGATTTTCAGGCAGCAAAGGACCTACAAAAGGAAAAATAAACCTTCTGTTAATATGGAAAGATGGATAGCTAAAAAATCTTTAGAAACGCACGCATGAAAAGTTGTTTTTAGCGTAACCGAACACCTTGAACATACCACTGGTCATTCTATTTTCTAGACGCGGTTAGTGAGTCTGCCAACGCATAAAGAAAGAGTCATCAGAAAATTCTGTCGATGGAGAAAAGTGGTGCTTGACTGAGCTGTGCATAGAAGCTGCCCATGACTGGAAAGAAGCACTTAACAATGCAAGTCAAGTGCCAGAGAAGAACTGTTCGGCGGATCCCCATCATCTCGCCACAGTCATGCGCGAACACCCACGCTGTGGTAAGTCACGGATTGAACAGTCGACTCCATCCCAGCTCCTTCGCAGTTTTTTTGGTCCTATTGCAGAACACATTTTTTTTCTCAGAGAAAGCGTTGCATGACCAAAAAGCAACGACTACGAAGGAGACTGGAGTCGACTCCCTAAAACAGGAAGAGAAATACGTTGTTTACGGTATCGATTGATACAGTTTGTTACGTTACCCCAGCCCCACCCCCATTGTCCACACAAAACACTCGAAAACACTAATGTAAAGGACAGAATGTGATTTTTTTCACGTCATCGTTTTGAAAAACATCTGTATTCACTTGTCCACAATAGAAATTGGGCGTTTTTAAAAGACTCCACTATTGAAATCGTCCTCGAGAGTGTTCTCTTTCATCAGGTGTTTTGGTTTGGACGAATGTGGATGTGAGGGCCAGTCTCACCGCGGTCAGAGAAGTAGAAAACTACTGATTGTATTGCAGAATGTTAATTGAGGTGTGTTATTGCCATCAATATGCATTTCGGATTTAATGCCACAGTCAGAAATTCGAAATGCGCATTATTGATATTCACAATTCAGAACTTTATTAAGATCTGATTGTCTTTTGCAAAAATTTGAACAAGTTAGATTTTCAGTTCGGAAGTCTAAATTGACCACTACTGGTGTTCACATTAAATTAACTTAGTCGTAAGCTTCTTGAGATTCACAGGTTGAATTTTAATTTTTTTAATCTGAATTGTGTGTCTCAGATTAAGTTGCTCACGACTGAAATTCTCTCTTGTGAAAACTTTAATGACAAGTTTTCTCAGATATCCTTATAGCATGTTTTAAACTTGAAAGTATAGTATTTACGGGAAACGGCGATAGTTGTGCAGTGAAAATGACCGGTTTGTTTGTCTGAACGGGGATGTGCAATTTTCGTAACAAAAAAACCCATTCTTTTAGGGAACTGTATTCAAGAAGTGCCTGTCTTTCAAAAGTCGTTAAGCATAAAATGATGATAAATACAGAAAAAAAACTTGTCTGAAATGCTCCGGTTTTATTGGCATGGTAAAGTTTGCGTGAGCTTAGGATTTATTTTGCATTTCGAGTTCATTGTTGGAGTCGGTTTGAGACAATCCCCGTTCCTTTTTACGGAAAGAACCTAAACGTCATTTCCTCTTTAATTGGTGTTCTGAAATACGTTTTCTTTAAAAGCTGCTGTTCACAGAACTGAAAACCACAGTTGATTATGTTTGCGAAGGGAACTTTGATGCTATTTTTAATTCGAGAAGAGTTCTGTCAAAGTATTGTCAGGTATACTCCGGTTTGATCGGTATATTAAAGTTTACGTGAGCTTAAGATTTACTTCGTGTTTCGGGTTTCCTTATTGAGGTCATTTCCGGCGAATTGATGTATTGAATTGTTTTTCACTGAACTGAAAACCACTGCAAAGATGATGCGCACGAAAGAAACTTTGATGTTATTTTCAACTTTATTCGTCTTCGTCTTCGTTACACTAAGTCAATCGGCTGCAGGTAAGAGAGACTTTGAATGATATCCTTTGCAGAATCAATTAAGTATCCATTGTGCATTGTCATCCGAGACGGGCCGAGTTCGCTTGACTACGAAGCGCATCACAGACACTTTAACCGACAAATGTACACGATAAGAAGAAACCTTCATTATATCAATAATAAATGCTATGAAGGAAGAATGGCTAAAGATTTCAATGTAGTCTGTGTTTGGATAATGCTTTCTTAGTTCATGCTGGGGTTTGAATGAAAGTCTGAGCTAATTCAAAAGTGCCTGTACGAAATTTCTCCCTAATCCTAACATTCGTATTCAAGCGCTGATGGCACATTGTTCCCCATTATTCCTACGTCATACAGCAGAATAAGAAACAGAACGATAAGCCGAAGATGCCTTTGACCAAGTTGTTCGTAAATTAGCGAAAAATTATTTGTAAATTGTTGATTTCTGTAGATCTAATCGAACACTAGCATTGCCTTTCTGATACGTTCGATTCCTAACAGGGACATTAATTCATGAAAGCTGCTGGTTGTTACACCAGTTGACAAGCCGATCACACAAAATTGTGAGGACAAACGTTACAAAGTTGTGGAATTCTCGTTAAGTAGATAAAGAAAGCGACAGGCAGATGTTTTGCAATATGTCATAGTATTCTTCATTGTCTTTGAGGATCAAGATATTACAGTTTGAAATGCACTCAAATCCTAACAAAAAGCTTGTATCTAGTTAACTTGGCTAGTTTATGCGTTGATTTTTTTCATTATGAGCTACAACAATATGTGTTACACAAGCTCAATCTCTATCTAAACCTTTTTTTGTACAAGGAAAAGAACTGAAAGAGGAAGCTGTATATGGCAGTGATGATAGAAATGGTTTTAATTTTATTTGTCTTCGTCTTCGTTACACCAAGTCAATCGGCTGCGGGCAAGAGAGACTTTGAATGCTATACTTTGCAGAGTCAACTAAGAATCAATTGCGCGTTGTCATCCGAGAAGGGCCGAGTTCGCTCGACTACAAAAGCGCATCACCGACAATTTTACCGACAAATTTACATGTCGAGACTAAAGATTTCAATGTAATGTTTGGATAATGAATTCTC